TCATTTTCACTTTTCTTTTATAATTCCATCGAAAGCGGAACTGGAAATCGATCCAAATGAAATTTTTAGATATTTTTTACGATAAAAGATTTATTCGATCCATACCGATAACGAATCTATAATGGCTCTTTACAAACAAAGAGTATATTGTTACAGAGTCCACAAAAGAAAGACGAGGTTATATATATATATATATATATATATAAAACTCATCGAGCGATACGTAATACAGTTACAATGCTATCATTCACACAATGTGTTATTTTTGTTTCAGTTATGTAACACGAAAGTGCCAAGAGAGTCAAACAATGTAACACATTTGAGTATACGCGAAACTGGATTAACTTATTTACGTGAATATTTAATTTCTCGTTGAAAATCGTTGCTCGTTGAAATCGTTTCCAAATATTCTCAAAAAATGTTTTTCACATTCGTTTTATAATTATTAATAGTAAATCTTTTTTTTTTTTTCTTTATGATGGGATATTATTTGTTCGGATAAAATATAAAAAGAGAGTAGCAAGAAACGAGCAAATTGATATATCTGTTCTCAGTACACGAATAATTGAAATCTAATTCGAAATAAATTAATCTTGTTGTTTAATGCTAGTTAATGCACTGTTCTCGTTTATCGGTTTTCCGTAGCAAATGTGCGATATAATATATTTGAATTTTCCTCTCTTTCTATTTATTTCATTCGATTTAACGTGTTTTAATCTCGATAATAATGTAAATCTGAATTTACACGTTTATGCGCAAAAATTTTGATGCTAAAAAAAATTATTGGAAAAATTGAAATTTAATTTTATTAAAAAAAAGAAAAAAAATCGAAAATAATTACTCTCGTAAAAACGAATAAAAGAAATATAGAGATGTGAGAAACGATCGACAATAATAGCGAACAAAGTGATAAAAAGTTGGTAAAGATATCTAGAAGAATTCAAAGAATATCCTGAGCTGAATATAAGAGGATGAACATTTCTTAGGATGGTCACTGCATAATAAAAACTTTTAGAAAGCGCCAAGAATACGGAATCTCGACTCAAGATTGGATGTACGATGATAACTTCGTAAGAAAAGAAATATCTTGAAAGAGATATTTAGCTCACGCTCACGGTCATAAATATTTTCGTCACTTTGAACGAGTATAAATAAGAGATTCTTAATATTTGATAGAGATGAAATCATAGAGATCAAAGAAATTTTTCATTAAGGAGAAGGTGTATATATTTTTTCTGACACGTAATGTTTAAACGAACGTAGAAAGTGGAACGGAAAAAGGAAATACAATGGAAGATATGAATTTCCTCCAGAACAAGGAATTTTTGAGAGTATCGTAGTAACAAAGAAACGATAAAGAATCAAAAGAATACTCTAATATCATGAAATCATAGATCGTCCAGAAGTAGTCCAATGCAATTTCGAGAAATAATCCTCTTATTTCATAGATAATATCTCGATAAAATAGCCTTATAAGGAAGGACAGCACACGATCGTAAAATAGAAAGATATCTATTATTAGATACGGATACTTTGAGATAACTTAATTCCCTACCGTATTGAAACAGAGAATTTTTATCTTGTCAAAAAATGATTTGTTATATGGGAAAAAATTTAAACATCGAGTAATTTTTCGAATATGTATAAAAAATCTTTGTATAAACAAAATTAATCGTATTAATTATAAATTTATAAATATAATCGTATAAATTATATAATAATTATCCACAATTAATTAATTACCGTTCATTTGGAATATCCTTTTTTCAACAAATTAAAAAATCGCAGTATGAAATAACGGATATTATTGATAATACGATAAGACTCTGAATAAAAGTCAGAAATATATAAGCTCCTTTGATCGTTTCCTGTCCATGATGGGAAATTAATAGAAATATTTTCAACCGAGGAAAAAAAAAAGACAAACGATATTAAATCGCGATACATGAAAACGAATTAAATTATATCTGACATTTGTACACTTGATATTCCCGTTCAAATATGATATTCAATTTGTATTATCAAGTTCGATTTAAATACACAAATTATATATTATAAATATTATTCCAATTATAAAATATATCTCTTAATTCATCCACGTTCTATAGGTGGAAAGAGAACAAAAGAGAAATGCCCTTACATTTTTACAACCAAAATGTCGCAAAACCTTCTTTTAAAATCTGTGCCTAATCATTATATCTGAGAGCAAGAGAATGATAAATGATCGGTTTCGGAACGATCTCGTTAACGAAATAACTAATTTCACAGAAAAATTATTCGCAGATTAATAAATCTTGGCTTAAAAAGGATTAAGAACATTTAACACTAAAAAATGAGTAATCGTTCGTGAATGAAATAACGTCGTATCAACGACTGAAATTTTTTTCTCTCTTCTTTTCTATATATCCTACGTTTTCATCGCGTGATATTTCGTTAATTAAAACATACGACAAAGAAAAACAGAATACGCGTCGTTAAAATTTAAATCTCAACATGAGATTTCATTCATTTTGGTCACAATTTTTCCTTTCTTTTCTTTTCTCTCTCTCTCTCTCTCAATTTTACTTTACACGCACAATGCGTTAATTTGCGATGAAACTCAATTTTAATTTACAAGTTAAAGAAATTGTTCCAGCAATACGAACTATGATTAATTATACAATCTAATTTACATTAAACACGATAAGTCGATCTTAGCTGCTTTAGAAATGTAAATTATCCACATGTATATAACCCAAAGAGCGAATTCATCGCGTATAATTCACCGCACGATGTACAAATCCAATGAAATGGCTTTACTGTCTGATGTATACGAGTAATTTATAGCTATAGTCGTTAGGACGCCATTGTGAGGAAAATAAGTATATACAATCCGTCGGGGCAATTCATAAAACTAATGAAGCTTGCAAAATGTTTCAATTTGAAAAATTCCAAAAATTTTTCCTCCCGATTTATAATATTCGATTGTATCTTGAATAATATTGAAATTCTATTTCTACACTCTGGTAATCATAAATCACTTATAAACTGAACGTAAACAAGTTCATTATCAAAATTCATTGCACAAAATTTAATCTTGTGGTAATACAGGATATTATGCTTGTGAACGAAATACATAATCTAATCCAATAAATTATCTTTAAACTATGATATTTCATATCATCACGTACGTGATACGTTCATCGATAAAAAATCCTTCTTTATTTACCCCCATCATCCGCGATGATTCCTTTTTTTTTCCTTCCTCGCTTTTGTCTTCTCCCCCGATAAATCGAAAATATTCGTTCCATATATTCCCCTGTATATTTCACTTCTTCTAACCAACGCTCGTTTCACGAAAAGTATCCTGGAAAATTTATCGTGAATCGTGAATCAAGATTGAAAAAATTCTAGATTAATAAAAAAAAAAAAAGGAATGAAATAATCGAGAAAGAAGAAATCTAAAAATATCTTGTTATCGATACGCGTATTATGCAATCTTCGTTTTCGCTTAGCTCAGTTTACACTGACACTATCAAAGTATGGACGATCGATTTCCATTTATTATCAGCAAATTCGTTCAAACATTGAGACGAGAGATCCGGCGTATCCGATACGATGGATCGAACGATCGTTCGATAAAAGGTATATAAAGGGTAACGAGCAACGGCGCAGGTTCCACGATGATCTCCTTCCACGAGGAAAAGCCTGCCAAAGTCTGCCGCCCCACCGTAGACACTCCCACCCCCTGGTTCACAATATTCATCGTGAAAACCGGCCGCACTTCGTCGCGAGTTCTCCGAAAGCGCGCACACGATTCGAAACGATCCCGATTCCGACAGAGTCGAAATATTTTTCCCGGTTAATCGTGTTGAAGAAAATCTCCGCTAATGAATTGCGCTTAACGTTACAGCGTTTCTTCTTCTTCTTCTTCTTTTTTAACTAGGAGGAATAAAATTAAAAATTAAAAAACGAATTGAATGGAGATCGTTAATCAGTTTTCGTAAACTTTTTGTGTTTTTGAAGACAAAATTAAAAAAGTAACGTAAATGAAAATTCGTTGAACGGAAGAAGCAGGCAAGCTGTCAAAAAAGTCTGATTAAATTAACGAAGAAGAATAATTGGAAATTGATCGTTCGTTATTATTAAATTTTCGTTCAACAAACTGACCGTGATGAAACAACGTGAACGAGTAGAAGGAACATCGAAATAAGACCTGTGCTTGACGGTCTTGCACAAGGTGTATCGAGGAATCTGTCGGTGGCCTTTGTCTCACCTCGATTCCATTGTCAACGTCGAAACGTCGAACGCAGGCGATCGTGTCGCCGATCTTTGAAACAACCTGTTACCAATTCCGCACACCCATGGACTCAAATTACGATACGCGTTCCGTGCCAACGAAGAGCACACGCTCTCCACCAACTTGTTGGCGGCCAACTATCCGATCATTGAAGCAGCAACTCGATCGAGCAAATACAGCGAACAAGTCGAAAGGAACGCGGTTCGGAACTGGAAATCGGGCGGATCGTTTGTTATCATGTTGCACGATGGAACTATGCTGAAACAGCTGAGTTCGATGCAATTGAAGCTTTGCCTCGAAACGAGGAGGCGATCGCAATAATTGTCCACAAAGGAATCCTCGAAATGTTTCCACCTTCGCAAGATTCGATTGTGTGTGTATGTATGTACGTGTGTGCGTTGTATGGTGTGTGTGTGTGTGTGTGTGTATGCGTGCGTGCGTGTGTGTCGTCGCGTGTATCCTCTTCTATTCGTTCGTGTTTCGTATAATTTCGTATAATTCTCGATTAAGTTTCGAGAGAGCAATCAATGGCATGCATCTGGCATCGAGCAGGATCATCTCGTGAAACGAGCTATTATTAATCGATCAACGGGTTGTTGCGTAAGGATAACGAGTGATTAACTGTGAAAGTGGTGTGTCCCATGGGAACAGTGGTGAAAGAGCAATTGTTCTCAACCGGATCGAAGTCATCCTCGCGGAGAATACGCGGGAACAATGTCGGATTGATATCATTCGAATGATACAGGTTGCAATCATCGACGTGGAAATATTGGCTTGTGAAAGAATATTATTCTCGAGTCGACGATTCTTAAACGGATATTTCACGGTTGGGTGAGTTTTATATTTCACGTGTTATTACTATCTGGTCGGGGAATTGAAATTTCATGGTATAGTAATTCGAGATAATCGAGACAATCCGTGGATTTTAGAGAATTTCGTGATCGAGGTATATTTTACGCGAAATATTTTTTATTAATTTTCCTCGTTGTATCGGAATTGAGACGGTTAGCGATTTTTAACCAAAAAAAAAAAAAAAGTATATATTATATTTTTTTATCATTTTGATGAAAAAGAAGATATTTTTGATTTACAAAAAAAATTATTTTAATTTTATAATTAATATTATAAAATTAAGATTAATCAATCTTACTTTTATCTTATTTCATTAAATAATATTTAATTTGAAAGATCTTTTCAAAATCTTACGATATTTTGCAATCTTTTAAATTATTTAGTTACGGTAGTTATTTATAGTTGCAATTAAAAGTTAAAAGCTCTTCATTTTAAGGTTTTTATCGAATAGAATGAGATTTCTTGTTAACTGAAATTTTCTAAGATTCTTATAACTTATCGAGAATGTAATTTAAAACTTCACTGCCATCTAATTATCCAACTTAATGCTTGGAATTTAATTAACAATCAAAGATATATTTTTTTGCGCATCTAAACAACTTCGTACTCTAAGAAACTTGTTATATGCGACGCTTACTAAACGTGGAAATACAAATCTAAAGAAAGTGAATAGTTTCAGGGATGTAATAATACGATATCATATGGTATCCATGTTACGTTTGCTGAGCTTGTGAAAGAAAACACAAACAACTATGAGAGAAGAATCTTATATGATTTAATTCTTTAAAGTGTTTGCGTGAAAAAAAAGAATTTAATTCGTTAATTCGAACATTGAGAAATTTTCTCAGAAAAATTGGAAATTGGAATCTGATTGAATTGTTGAAAAAAATTATTCGACAATTAAACATTTCTGAAAATCTACGTACGGTTAAAATTTTTCGCGAGAAATATTTTGTACGCGATCGATTAATGATGATGTTAAAATCGTGTCGTCAAAATAGAATTTAACCATAAGAACATATGATATTAAAAAAAAAAAAAAGGTTTAACCGTATTATACAAAATTATATGTTTATATTATAAAAACTAGAAAAATATCGTTTCACCTAGCAAAGATTTTATATAGTTTTTATTTCGAAATGCACAATCGAAACACGAACACGGCACCCGATTTACATCCGCAAACGAAACGATCAACACTGCGAAATTTGCTGGAAATTTCGAACGCTGTGCTTTTACACGAAATTTTGATGACGCGGATAAAATCTAAAGTGGTTAGGTAAAAATATATTTATATATACGGGCAATAATTTTGATCACCTTGAATATTGTTGTTTATTTTTCGAGATGAAGAGAAACTGTTAGCAAAACGTCATATTTTTATACAAATGTAAAGCTTTCGGATAATTTCAAATTATTTTTTTTTAAACGATACGCTGCATTCCTTTATTTTCAACGATATATTAAATAATTTTAACGACCTGTAACGCAAGATAACAAATATAATAATGGATAACAAAGCAAAACAATAAAGATCTATATTTGCAAAAGATGTAGTGTCAGTTTACGTGCATCATCAGATTACATACACGGAAGTCCATACGCTTGTTATAAGTTCCGAATTGATCGTAGAGTTATTATTACAATTAGTTACATATCTTGTGACGTTTTACAATTTTTCTCGAAACGAATATTGCATTGTTAACGAACGAATTCGTCGTTTCCATTTTTCCTTTCTCTCTCTCTCTCTTCTTTTTTCTCCGACTTCAAAATTGTCCAATTCATCGGAGTATTGAATTTTTCAGCAACATCAGATCAATTTCACGTAGAAAATTGGAATTTTGTAGTTGGCAAATATTGAACGGGACATTTTCCACATTAGTCGATGAAAATCTTTTTAAAATCACCAATAAGAAGAAAATCATGCGTTCAATTTTATTTACCTTCAAAAAACAACCCGCGGTCTCTCTCTCTCTCTCTCTCTCTCTCTCTCTTCTTACTTACTTACTTA